GTTATTTTTTATAATAGTTTTGGCTGAGTTTTTCTGCATTCATGTATGACATTTAGGGTTTTGGGTAAGGAATTGCTTTTTTTTTTTTTTTTTAGGGTTTGGCTATTTGTGATTTTATATCTCTCTGCTCCTCTATGTCCTCACCGCAATCTCTCCGCCTCTCTCTATCCTCACCACAATCCCTCTGCTCTCACTGTCCTCAGCGCCATCTCCATGTTCCTCTTTGTCCTCACCAACAACTCTATGTGTTTGAAAACTTTTTCGTGGGAGGATGAGGTTAATAAAGCAAGATGACCAAAAAACAAAAAAACATGAATTCAAGTTATGGGTCTGGGTCATACTTTGGTTTGGGGGACTTTGGATGCCAAGAAATGAAGGTGGGGTTTTGGACGATGGGTGGGACTTTGGGATGAGGATGTGGTTCAAAGAATGGGGTTTTGGGTTAGTGAGACACAGAGAGAGAGAGTTGATGGGGGATGAGGATGGTGCAGAGTGGGCTGGAGATGGAGAAGTGCGAGAATTGTTATTAAAGTTTGTTTCAAATCTGCACCATAGAAACAATTGAACGATTAAAAACAAAACTCCGTAACAATTATGCATTTTAGTACTCCATAATGGAGAATCTCCCTACATATACATATTACTTTTCAAACTTAGACTTAGTTATAAGTTGACTCTTTAAGACCATCTCCAACCATGTTGAGGCTAAACTAAAAATTCCACCCTCTAAAATACAACTATTCATGAATTGTCCGGACTCGAACTTTTTTTTTCCTCCCACCATGTAGACTCATAATTTGAGTCCATAACTTCATTAAATTGTTTAAGAATGGTTAACCTCTAATTTTTTTAAAATTAATTTTTCTTGACATTTTTTTGTTAATATTCATGATTTAATTTTCTGAACATTTTAACCTTAAAAAATCCAAATTTCAAAACGTAATATAATTTCACTCTAAATAAAACTTTTGTGAGTTATTTAACAAATGGATGAGTATTGATAGAGTTTGGGATGTGTTGCTGGAATTGTTTGAATTTCGTTGGAAGTGAGTCCAATACACCTACTGCATGATGCCAAAGGCAACAGTCCTGATCTCTCTTTTCATCCTTTCTCTTACTATTACCCTACATCACCACCAGTGGCGGAGGGCCTGGGCCCACACACACTGGTCCTTAGGTGGCTCCGCCACTGATCACCACTACTACCAGAAGCCTGAAAGGTTTGTAATATCGGCTTCCATGTAGACAAGGTAACAAAAAATCAGAGGAGTTGGGCCGGACAGAGAAGAGAGAGATCAGACCTCAAAAAGAAAAAGATTACATTATGGTCAAAACGAGAATCTTGATGTGCCCAATGGTAATCATAGCCAAAGCTTATCAGAATTTATTGGGTACAATGATAAACAGACCAGTAAGCAGATATATCAGAATTTATTGCCTAATAATTTAACTACGTACCCAAAGAAGGGCTTAATAGCCTAGCCAACAAAACTCTCACCCAATCATGGAAAATGAATATCCTTCATAAACACGATTACAGAAGAAAGAATATGTTGAAAATCCAAAATACAAAAGAGAAGTACTTTGTTCGTGCAAATATCTGCAGAAACAAAAGTCTAGTAAACATATGGCAAGAATAAAAAACAGTACAGCACAGCTATGATGATGAAAGAAACAAAATGAACTCTATGAACAGACTCAAATTTTCAGATTGTATATTATTTTCTTTGGTGATCATAAGATGTAGGAAATAAATAAATAAAATTCTGATAAAGCATGCAAAAACACAATTTTCACTCACATAAACCAAATTATAAAAAGAAAAACTAACTTATACATCAACTCTTGACTGTCAAAATTACCCAGCACCTTAAATTTCGCATGCAAAAGGTTCACAACCATTACAAGAGCTTACAGTCATTCTGTACCTTTTTCTAGAAGCCTTATTCCCATCAGATTTTACAAGTACTGAATTGCAATTGTACAAAAAAACAAGTAACAATTTAAAATTTGGAATGTAATAAGGAACAAATAATAAAATAGAAGTCAGAACTAAATCCCCAACGTATATTTTTTTAACCAACTTGACAATGTGGAGTCATGCATTCAAGATCAGGAATAACAACTTGATTGCCTATTTAGGCAGTTGATTAGAAGTGTCTCTCTCCTCAAGATCCTAAACCACTAGATATATATATATATATATATATATTAGCTTTTTCGATTTTGTACAAATCATCCTCTGGATATCAAATCGATTATACCCAAAAAAAAAAAAAAAAAAGGGCAGTTGAATTTCAAACGCTTCAGCCAATAGCAAAAAGGTTTGGTTCAATTGGGACAACCTAGCGAGCCATGATGGATCCAAAT